TAAGGGGTAAGTGAGCACATAAGCTTAATGGGCCTAAAGCCTAATTCGAACTGGGCTTAAATTAGTTAATTAAAAGGAGGCAAGATAGGATTTATAATCTGATTAGGATTAGCTGAAGGATAAGATAAGTCTTATCCATTCAAGAGTCTAGATCCAAATATCATTTTTGGACTAAGGAACTCTCTCCTAATTAGATTAGGAGGTTGATCCTGAGAAGGCTATAAATAAAGGGGGTGAATTCCTCAATTAAACAACACAACAACTTGAAGAATTCTCTCATATTCTTGCCATCCCTACCCAGTACGATCTCCTCTTGAGGAATTGATCAAGAAAGTTTCTTGATATTATTTCTTGGCTGAAGAAACAATTTGAAGTCGTGCTCACCAGCCCCAGTTCGATTCTTTCTAAAGGATCCTAGTTCTTGTTGAAGAGTCATCCTGCTGATCCTGCATCATTACACACTGTGTCATCTTCGGTGGAAAAGGGTTTTGATATTCTCCTTGGGCGTGAACACATTCACTGGGAGTTACTACTACTTCGTATCAGGTATATCCCTCTCCGCTTTTTTGGTTTCAAGTCTGGTCCAGTTTTGGTTTCAAGAACGATCCTTGAAAATGCAGGTTTCTAAAATAGGGAATGCGATTCCTAGATGGGAGAGAGAAAAATTTTTGAAATTTTGCCCAACCTTCCTACAAGGTTCGGCCATCCATATGATCGATCTCTCATCCCTTCAGTGGAATCAGAGCCATGGTTTGATTCTTGAACCGAAATTGAACCAAATTTGATATGCACAAATTGGTAGAAACTATTCTACCCAATTTGCGCAGTTAGCGATTTTTCTGGGAAATCGGTTCCCAGTTTTTGGAAAATGATCTAAAAATAATTCTTTATCATTCTATTATATAATTAGAATTGTTCTATTTATATTTCTTGAATTTTGGGATGTTCATATGGAGGAGATCGAAATCTTTTCTACGGCGCAAGAAATCTACGCATCTGCGTTTTTTCTTATTCATTCTTGGTCTGTAATTAATTTTATTATTATTATTTTTAGATGGAATGTATAGGAATTTGAATCTGATGTAATATTAATAGAAAAATTAGGGTTCAGCGATCTACGATTTGCAGTTTTGGAAAATGCAAACTACGAATTGATCATTGTTTTGCAGGGTAGCAGTCTTACGAATAGCCCTCTTACAGATCCTTGATTGTCATGTATCAGTTTCTTTATTTTCAGATCATGTTTCTTGAATTGGATCTTGAAATAAACATCAAACCCTAGACCCATTCGAACCAGATTTGACCAAACTGGTTGGATTGAATCTATGGTTCGATGGGGGCTGTTCTCAACCCTAAAATTTCCTATATGGGTCGAGGAGTTGATGGTTAATTTTATGATGCAATTCGGCCCACATCTGTAAAACCCAGTTTTCGATTGTTAAAATTGCTTTAGCCCAATTCAGCATAAATGCTATATAGGCCGAACTACTCTTTGCAGTTCAACCCATATACCTAGATAATATTATTTGATAAAATTATGGGCTTTAAATGGGCTGAAAGTTTTTTTAAATTTATTTATTGGTTTTACAGTTATTTAATTGATTGGATAAATTATGGATTCCATGCATGTGATGTATGTGATGTGATGTGTTGTGTACATGCGACATAAGTGCTTAGCCCATGTTAATTCGATAGTGGCTGATGATGGTAGAATTTATCACATTTTTATCTCCAAATATTTTGTCTTTCATACCTAATTAGTACTTAATTGGACTCATATCTCTTGTATTTTGATTCAGGGCATGAAAGAAGGCATTAGGAGCAAAGAAAGGCTAATCGGATGGGTTTTTCACAGTTTCGGCAGCGATCAGTAATCCGGGTCTAACTTTCATATCCCAGCTCCGATTGGGCTAATTCAAGATCCACTGGAAATATAAGAGATAAATCTACAACGTTCATGTTTTGGGATTTCATAGATTCGGCCTACATCGAAGTCAAATCCTGACCCAAAGATGGAGCACTTTTGTAGTGAGGCCCAATTCCCAGCTAAAGCCCATTTCACAGAAGAACATTGAGGCGGCCCAAGATATTAATGTAGCCCATTCGAATTCAAGAGTTCGAGAGTCCTCTTAGACTTAAACTTTTAAATGTAATTCCAGAAAGATTAAGAAAGGTTTTAGATAAGGAGAGAGGAGAAGATGGGATAGGAGATGAGGAGTTTGGATCAAGGCTGGATTATCCATTCTTGAGATAACTCCAAGAAATTGTAAGCTATATGAGAGCTGGGTGCACCAGCCCAAGGGGATGACGAATTGCATTGAGAAATCAGTCAAGAGAGGAGAAAAGAAGTCAAGAAACAGAGGAAAGGTGATCAAGAATTCAAGAAACTTSAAGAAGAAGGTGRYGGCAAGAAGAGGAGATCTCAGCACCATGGGCGAATTCAAGAGTTCTTTCTTTCCCTTTGTTTGCTTTAATTCTCTTATCATGAACTGATTTGTTTCTTGATAGGGCTNGTTATGTGAATGAATCGAGAGAGGAATTCACATAATCGACTGAATAATTCATAGTGTGAATTGAATGGTATATAGAGACATATATACATGATTCATCTGAATTTAATGGTTTTTCTTGGACTTAATGCATTTCCATCTTGAGAGATCTACTCGAGAGATCGAAAGGTTACCCAATGGACATAGTTTTAATATATCTCGAGAGAGAATATTAAATAAAATTGGAAAGACCTCAGCTTATGAAAATGACAAATAATCTTGGTTAATCGAATCCATTAATATTCATTACATTGGTTAGGTGGACCAAAAGCCCTAGCGATTTCATCCWTTGCATATTCGGTTAGTGATCACCCTTGCTTCTATTTTCTTTTTCTAGTTTTTATTTCCAGTAGTTCTTGCTCAAATCTGAATTTCGATTGTCCAAATAATTAGGGAAGACTGTGGTTCTAATACTTATTTTGTTAAATCCCTGTGGGAACGATATTTTTTATACTACTTGATAACTATTGCACTTGCTAGGGTTATATAATCATAGCTTTCAAGTTTTTGGCGCCGTTGTCGGGGATTTAATCCTAAAATAATATTAAAACTTGTTGACCTTGATTAATTTGGATTTTCTTTTATTATTGCTGTTTTCATTTTGTTATTATTTTATTTTTCTACTTGTTCGATTTCTTGTTGGTTCAGATTTACTAGTGCATAACACGCACTAGACAGGAAGGACTAGCTAAATTTGATCCAGAAATTGAGAGGACCCTTCGCTTGTTGCAAAGGGTAAACAAAGGTAAAGCTAGAAAGGAGGTTGTTATTGGCGAACCAACAATAGAGTTGGAAGGAGAGATGGCAGAAGGGAATTGCACCCTATTGGACTATGCTTGTCCAAACACTAATGGGGCGACATCCATCATTTGCAAGCCCACCATTCATGCCAACAACTTCGAAATCAAGCCTGCAATAATTCAAATGATCCAAACAAGCATTCAGTTTAGTGGGTTACCAAGTGATGACCCCAATGCACACATTGTTAAATTCTTGGAAATATGTGATACCTTTAAACTTAATGGAGTTAGTGATGATGCTATTAGGCTTAGATTATTTCCTTTTTCATTGCATGATAGAGCTAAAGATTGGCTTAACTCACTCCCTACAGGAAGTATCACCACTTGGAATGATCTAACCCAAAAAATTTTGGCTAAATATTTCCCACCCTCTAAAATAACAAAGTTAATAAATGATATTACTACTTTTGCTCAATTTGAGAGGGAAATCCTTGTATGAAGCATGGGAACGATTCAAGGAGATGCTTAGGAAGTGTCCTCACCATGGGATACTAACTTGGCGACAGATTCAGACTTTTTATAATGGTATTAACCCCTCTAATCGATCCATTATTGATGCAGCCRCAGGTGGCACGATCATGAGAAAAACACCGGAGGAAGCTTATGACCTAATAGAGGAGATGGTGTCAAACATCTACCAGTGGAGCAATGACCGAACCAATCAAATGGGAGTACACCATATCGATTCCCTTGTAGCCATATCTGCGCAACTTGCTAAGCTGAATAAGAAACTTGACACTTTTAATGTTGCAGCAATTAATACACCATCTAGCATCTCATGCGATTTATGTGGTCAAATAGGGCATACTAATTCTGATTGTCAATTAAATAGTCATTTTATTTCTCATGAGAATGCTAATTTTATCTCTCATGCTGGCATGTCAAACTTCAACCCATATTCAAATACATACAACCCAGGGTAGAGAAATCATCCAAACTTTTCATGGAGCAACAATCAACCAAAGACACCCATGGGATTCAAACAATAGCTGCCTCCACAAGAAAAAAAGAGTAATCTGGAAGAAATGATCTCTAAGTTCATTAATGCCACTGAAGCAAGGTTTCAAGAACAAGATAAGAGGTTCTTAAGCCAAGAAACATCAATCAAGAACTTAGAAGTTCAAGTGGGGCAGATTGTAAGCATGCTATCGGAAAGGAAGGAGGGAAGGCTACCCAACAACACAGAAAAGAATCCCAGAGAGCATGTGAGCGCCATAGCCTTAAGAAGTGGGAAGACAGTCGACGAAGCCCAAGAAGACGACAGGGAAGCTGAATCGGCCAAGCTGTAAAAAGAGAATGAGGGAAGCACCCCTAAACTGAATTTAGATGAAATTAAACTTCCTATCCCCTACCCAAGAAGAGTCTTGAAGGCTAAATTAGATAAACAATTTGAAAAATTTTTGGAAGTGTTTGAAAAGATCCATATTAACCTTCCTCTTCTTGATGTATTGTCACAGATGCCGAAGTATGCCAAATTCCTGAAGGAGGTAATGCCCAACAAAAGGAAGTGGGAGGATTGCGAGATGGTAAAGCTAAACGAAGAATGTTCGGCCATTCTTCAAAATAAGCTACCCCCAAAACTGAAGGATCCAGGGAATTTTTCTATCCCTTGCACCATAGGCAATGCTGAATTTGAGAAAGCTTTATGTGACCTTGGTGCTAGTATAAATTTGATGCCCTACTCTATTTTTAAAAGACTTGGATTACATGAACTAACATCTACCACCATTACCCTACAACTGGCCGATCGAAGCATTAAATACCCTAGGGGAATAGTGGAAGATGTCTTAGTTAAAGTAGGGAACTTCATCATCCCTGCTGATTTCATTGTGTTGGATATGGAGGAGGACAGATCGATGCCATTAATTCTAGGGAGACCCTTTCTTGCTACTGGTAATGCCTTAATTGATGTACAAAAGGGTCAACTTACTCTTAGGATCAATGGTGAAGAAGTGATATTTAACATTTTCTAAACTCTGAAGTATCCCAACACGAGAGAACATGAAATATATGTAATCAACTCCATTGATGTGGTGGCAGCAGAAATTAATAAATCAAAGATAGATGACCCCTTTGAAAACTGTATCATTAATTCATGTAATAGCATGCAGGTGATGGAGGACGAGGTAGAGGAGGCAATGAATTATTTAGAAGCTGGCCAAGAAGAATGCAAACCAAGACAAGGGAGACAGTTCCACTTTACCTATAATTATCTCTTCTGAATTGACAGGTCTCCAAGAGGAAAAGCTTGTGAGGGTGCTCAAGCAACACATATCGGCCATAGGATGAAGCATCACTGACATAAAAGGGATCAGCCCGTTGGTATGCACACACAAAATTCTGATGGAGGAGGGCTGCAATCCCAAGGCACAACCACAAAGGAGGCTGAATCCTAAAATGCAACAGGTAGTAAAGGTAGAAATTCTAAAATGGCTCAAAGCAAGTATTATATATCCAATTTCTGACTCATCATGGGTAAGCCTTGTTCAAGTCGTACCAAAGAAAGGTGGGATTACTGTAGTTATAAATGAAAATAATGAATCAGCTCCCACAAGAACAATAACTGGCTGGAGGGTGTGCATAGACTATCGAAAGCTAAATGAGGCCACTAGGAAAGATCACTTCCCTTTTCCATTTATTGACCAGATGATAGAGAGACTTGCAGGGCACGAATATTATTGCTTCCTACCAGTGCAATGGGTACCTTGTAGATTAGGAAAAAACCACTTTTACTTGCCCATATGGAACCGTTGCATTTAGGAGAATGCCATTTGGGCTGTGCAATGCACCGGCCACTTTCCAGCGATGTATGATGCCATTATTTGGTGATTTCATCAATGACTTCATGGATGATTTCTCTATTTATGGATCATCATTTGATGAATGCTTACTGAATTTGAAAACGGTACTTCAAAGGTGTAAGGAATCTAACCTTGTTTTGAACTGGGAAAAATGTCATTTCCTAGTTAGGGAAGGAATCGTTCTAGGGCATAAGGTGTCCTCCAGGGGCATTGAGGTTGATAAAATAGGATTATCCCAGTCTACTTACATTGACAAAATAGTCAAGATATACAGTATGGAGAACTCCAAGAAAGGAAATGTTCCTTTCAGGTATGAAGTCACTCTCTCCAAGGGTATGTCTCCCAAGACTCCCGAGGAGATTGAGGGCCTAAAGTAGATTCCCTATGCCTCAACCATAGGGAGCATCATGTATGCCATGCTATGCACTCATCCTGACATTGCTCAGGCAGTGAGTGTGGTGAGTAGATACCAGTCTAACCCAGGATAGAAACACTAGACAACTGTGAAAAACATACTGAAATACCTTCAAAGGACAAAAGAGTTTTGTTTGGTATTCGATGGTAGTTTACTACAGATCCAAGGGTATACTGATGCCGATTTCCAGTCAGATCTAGATGATAGAAAGTTTACATCTAGGTATGTCTTTACGATGGGGGCCTATGTAATTAGTTGGAAAAGCAGTAAACAAGGTTCCACCGCAGATTCCACGACCGAAGCCGAATACAGTGAAGCTGCTAATGAAGTCGTCTAGATGAAGAAGTTCATTCAGGATTTAGGAGTAGTTTTGTTCAGCACATCACTCAATCCACTGTTGTGTGACAACAATGGAGCTATAACTCAGGCTAAAGAGCCACAAGCCCACTCGAATTCGAAGCACATCGAGAGGAAGTACCATGTACTGTAGGAGATAGTTAGTAGAGGGGACGTCTTGATTCAGGAGATAGTTAGTAGACCCATTGACTAAGCCACTTACAAAGAAAGTGTTTGAGAAACATGTGGAAAGTATGGCACTCTGGCTAGTACCCGATTGGACCTAAGTGCAAGTGGAAGTTGTTAGACAGTGTATGCCCTTAGCTCCAATCAGCATGATGTACATTATGACATTTATTGTAAATGATAAATTACATATTTGATTCATGTTATTATGGTGTGTTTCTGTGTAAAACCCTTAAACTGGACACATATGAGATTCGTGTTAGTTTAGAATCTTCATACCCATTGGATAGATCTGGAGAGATTTATCCTACCAAGGCTAACATGGATGTACCGCCAAGTTGGTTGGGGTGGATTGTCTTAGCTGCTTGGGTGAGACCTGAGGTACATGTAATGTGGGGTTTTTTGAAACCCTAAACCGGGCCAACCAATGTTACCCTGGACCTTGGAGATAGATGGGCAAAACTGGAATGTTATACCTAACCCCTAGACTCAATTATGGTATTATACTAGGTGTTGGATTAGGCTATCTTTGATATGCCAATCAGTGAGATCCTTAGAGGGGGTCAAAACCTAGGTATGTTGGGACAGTCCGAGAATTCATCTGAGTGGGTGATCATAGTGACAGGACCAGCCCCTTTGTCGGACAAAGTGAATGATCGGGGAATGCACTCTATCTGATTGAAAAGGTTTTAATTCCTAGGATCCGTGTGAGTAGAGAGTGCAACACTGTTCCTTGCAGCCGAGGGAGAGGTCCTCTCTTTTCGGGTTGTGTTTGATCATTATGGGCTGAGAGGTTAAGTGTAAAACCATTAAGGGTAATACTTGATGGGCTAATCTTGCATCTGCCCACACTCCTTGGGTTTTCATAAGGTGGTTGGACCCAATGACCATTTAGTGTAAATGTTGGGCCCATTAAGAGCCCATAGTGATGGACTTTCACTGTCTCCTACAATGAATTCGGCCAGGCCTTATAACAAAGGCTGGGCTGAACCCATGTGGCTGATGTATAGATCAATGTTTGGGTCCCACGCCATACAAAGAGAGCCAACTAGATAGCAAGTAAAGGGGTAAGTGAGCACATAAGCTTAATGGGCCTAAAGCCCAATTCCAACTGGGCTTAAGTTAGTTAATTAAAAGGAGGCAAGATAGGATTTATAATCTGATTAGGATTAGCTGAATGATAAGATAAGTCTTATCCATTCAAGAGTCCAGATCCAAATATCAAATTTGGATTAAGGAACTCTCTCCTAATTAGATTAGGAGGCTGATCCTGATAAGGGTATAAATAAAGGGGGCGAATTCCTTAGTTACATAACACAGCAACCTGTAGAATTCTCTCTTATTCTTGCCATCCCTACCCAGTTCAATCTCCTCTTGAGGAATTAATCAAGAAAGTTTTTTAATATTGTTTTTTGGCTGAAGAAACAATCTTAAGTCGTGCTCACCAGCCCTTGTGATTCTTGCTGATGGATCTTAGTTCTTGCTGAAGAGCCATTCTGTTGATCCTGTTTCATTACACACAGAGTCTTGTTCAGTGGAAGTGGGTTATGATATTTTCCTTGGGCGTAAACACCTTCATTGGGAGTTACTGCTACTTCGTATTAGGTATATCCCTCTCCTCTCTTTCGGTTTCAAATCTGGTCCAGTTTTAGTTTCAAGGACAATCTTTGAAAATGCAGTTTTCTAAAATTGGGAATGTGATTCCCAAATGGGAGAGAGAAATTTTTGAAATTTTGCCCAACCTTCCGATAGGGTTCGGCCATCCATATGATTGATCTCTCATCCCTTCACATGCAATGACCAATACTTTACTACAAATGCAACAATGGTCTAAAGCTCATAATTAACCCTTAGGGCTAGTTGCTTTCCCAAACATGGTTGCGATGAAACTCTAACCTATGCTAATTTTTTATACTATGACTGAACCCCAATTGTATCGCCCATGAAAGGTCTTGCCTTCTTAAAGCACAACAACACGCGGTCCTTGTATGGGTAGCAAAACTGCATTTCCCTACAAAGTAACTCAACATCCTTTCTACAAATATGGACCTTAATACATACTCCACGACTCACTCCTTTTATACATCATTCTTTTGCACTTGATAATGTTTAGATATTCGGATAACTCATTATTTAACTACTTATTTGCATGACGTTATTTGGGTTAACTCCTTCACACCTAATTGCATCTCATATGTTGGAATAATACTATTCATTTGTTTTATCTGCGATAAAGCACAATATCCCCGTACTTGATTACGATAGAGCCCAACGGGCACTCAATGACCAACATTAGCTGATACAGCCCTCTCATGTGACGACCACACTCACAAAAGCAACATGGCTGCGAAGAAGTTTTAACTCATTTATAGCACACAACAAACGTTACGACATTGAACAACTCCATCCTATGAGTTAGCCCACTCTCATCTAACAATATCTCAACGCGGCATAGTAACACCACTCAACTGCCATAATGCAATGCGATAAAGCCTACGACGTCCGTAACAATACTTAACCGCGATAAGGACAAATACGTAATTCATGAACCAATGCACAACTTTAGAAAAATTCGCCACTGTCTCCCCTAGTGACATCCAACACACTTGCACAGAAGCCCAAATCACAAGATACACACGATTTCCTTATTCTCCACTCCACTTATGAGGTTACTAAATTGCGATTAATGGCGAAAGGAATAATCAAAAGTTTTCTTTCTTATGTTCCTCTTTTCAAAGCATTATCTTAAATCCGTATTAAGCTTGAATAATTTTTGCAAAAAAACAACCCGCCATCACAACGAAAAGAGACTCTACTGCATACAAAAACGAATAAACAAGAAATTGAACTGACAATTATATCAAAACTAAAATTGCAATATCAGAATTATCACACATTCACATTATATTATAGGAAACCCCAGAATGATCCATTACAATTCATGAACTTTTTTTAGTTTAGACCTAGTACAAACAATGATCACTTAGCCCACTCTTCCCGCATCACAACAATGGTCTCTAACACCTGGCTAATCTCTTCAAATTTCTTCAAACCCTCTAGCTCTGCCTCATACTCCGCGAGGATCTTCTTCTACCTAGTGCATTCCTCCATGAGACCCCCGAGCTTACCCGCGATTTTGGCAACGCTTTCCTCGACCATCTCGACCATCTGACTACGGTATGTCACAACCAACCTTCCAGAAAGCATGGGCTAGCATCACGACACATTTTTCAATCTGTGTCATGAAGAAGCCCATTGACGAAAAACCCCGACAAGCTTCTAACCAGCAAGCAAACTCAGACCACGATAACTCCTCCGTTGGGTGGGTCATCACATGGCTCATTAACGTGGCGATGGTGTTCTGTGCAGGACCCATGACCTTGGGATGCATGTTTCCCTCTAGCAACCACATAGCACGTATGGCGGCTAAAGCAAACTAAGCCACTATACTAGAAACACTGTACAGGACGCCTTTGTAATCACCCTGAACCGAAATTGGATCGACAACAAGTAAGTGCAGAGATAGGATATCATGATTATCACAATACTCC